AAAGTAAAAACATAAAAATGATCTGGAACTTTACAAAGACTAACTGTATAAACATTACTCCAGAAGACACTGAAGAGGAAGATTTAAATTATTTTGGAGAAAAGATAGAGGTGGGCAGACAGTAGAGTTGGCATCAAATTGTTAAATCCTGATACCTTTATAAAAATATTTCAAAGATAATGGGTGGAGCAAAATGAACAGGAGTTTTGGAGTCACACATAATTATGGGCTGGATCTGCGAATCTGATCAAGTTTTTTTATGCCTCAGTCACTGTCACTACACCCTAACCATACTAAGCAGGACACCACACCAGGGCTTTAGCGTGCACTGCAGGGCCATGTGGGGCAACTGTATTGGGAAGAGCCCCTGGGGAAGCCCTCCTTTGGCAGAGACAACAGGGTGGGAGAGGGGAGTTCTCTCTGCAAGAGAAGGCCTGCGGGGAACTATACCAACTACAGCAAGAGGGAAAGACAGACGCTAGTGACGAAAACAGTCTAGAACTGAGCGTCGCACAGCCAGCAGACAAGAGGCTCCTGACGGGCAGGGATGTGGGGGACTGGACGGCAAAGTGGACACTCACATCAAGAATCTCCTTGTTGGCTTTCGGAGATGTGGCTTCTCTTAATTCCTTGATAGCCACGGGGATTTTAACCTTCTCACCTTCTGGGATCCAGAGTCCCTGTGACAGAGAAAGGGAAGACATCAACTAGTGGTTGTCATGCCCATGGCAGGCCACTGCTGAGGGGGCAGGGTGGACTTTGTGGGTGACAGCACCCCACAGGAGAAGGGAGGTGGAGCTGCTCTGCACTCCTGGGCTGGGTGCCGGGTCCCGTATCTTAGCTGCCCCTCACCTACCATGTTCATGAGTCAGAGCAGTCACAGTCTAAAAACTAAAAACACAACCCTGAACCCCTACAACCAACATAGAGCATTCTGTCCAGAAATCCCAGATGCCAGGTCAAGACCCAACTGAAATCTGATGATTATCTAGTGAATAGGAAGCTCTCCTGACCTGGGCTTTTTTCAGAAGCTCTCATGCAGTTCAGGCTCCTGAGCACTGCCCCCCCCCCCCAATATCTAGTGAATAGGAAGCTCTCCTGACCTGGGCTTTTTTCAGAAGCTCTCATGCAGTTCAGGCTCCTGAGCTCTGCCCCCTCCCCCCCAATATCTAGTGAATAGGAAGCTCTTCTGACCTGGGCTTTTTTCAGAAGTGCTCATGCAGTTCAGGCTCCTGAGCACCCCCTGCCCCCCTCCCCAATATCCTGTGAATAGGATGCTCTCCTGACCTGGGCTTTTTTCAGAAGCTCTCATGCTCCCGAGTCCCCCCACCCCCACCCCTACCGCCTCCCCCAGCGTCCTTGTGCTGCTCTCCCTCTAAAACTCAATGCTGGTGCCCACGAAATGCTGTGCCTGACAACATGTCTGGCAGGACCTCTCATCTGTCACACGACTGTGGATGACTCCCTCTTGACAACGTGATGAAACCTGCCAAACCGCAGTGGCACATGAGCAGACTGCAGCTGAGCGCTCTGGGCTTGCCCAACAGGCCTCACCTTGTACACGGTGCCGAATGCTCCAGAACCCAGGACCTTGATCTTTTTGAATTCTGTTTCTTTTAAGATCCTCAAGAGAGCTTGGTTTGGTGCTTCTCCACTGGGTGTCAGGGGCTCCACAAGCTACAAGATAAGGAAGAAATAGTGCCCTGCAGCTCATTTCAATGCGATGGGAATATGCGTCAATGGAGATTATAAGACAGGACCCTCAGCCCAGAACCCAGCCCTGCATGAGTGGCTAGGAGAGAGAGGATCCCTCACCTCAGCTCATGGCATGGAGCGTAGGGGTGATGAGGAGAAGATGGATAGCCCTGCAGTTCAGCACCAAGTACCCTGTGTGTGTGAGTGTGTGTGGTAGGTCCAGACACAGCCACATGGTCCTATGTTAGCACAAGAATTGACAGTCTCATTCAGAAGGAGAATAGAACCTTCCCTGAAGAACATCATGAAAGAGAAAGTGGAACCAAGTGCTCCAAATTAGGCCTGAGCTGACAGAAGAGCCACATTTCAAGAAACCATTGTCCATTTCTGCTTCCAAGTCAAACAGCTGGATTGAGGATGTTGTGGTGAGGAACATTTTCATATGGTGTCATTTTATTAGCCCGTCAGACCACAACACACATGCCACATGTCCTGAGTTGCTCTGGGGTCCTCATCCCAGGACTGTGGCACAGACACATGGCCAGACAGTCACATCAGACCTCAGAAGACAGCCCTGGTGTGGACAGAGGCATCTTGCAAATGGTAATACCTGACAGGAACTTGCAAGGGTCTGTGTGTGTGGCCTGTCTGCTGGGCATGCGCCTGGGCCTGCATTTTAACCATTCTGTGTGGCTCACTACACGTGCATTCCAGTGGCTAGATTTACCAAACTCTAACTACATACACAGAGTTGGACAGTCAGAGATGCTTTTCTATTACAAATAATAAAGCACATTAATACAATTAGAATAAAGTACATAATAAAACACAATTTCAGATGACAAGTCTTCAAAGCTAGTCCTGCTCCTGTTTTGGGCAGTGGAAGCTCTGGAGGGACTCTGTGGGGATTCCTCTCTGGAGTAGTGGAAGATTCTCGGTGTGCTGTGGTTCATCTTGGGTAGTGGGAGGTCCCAGGGGTTCCTTTTTGGAAAGTGACATTCCTGAGGGCCCTGGTAGGGGCCACAGGGCCTGGGCACTCACCTCTCTCTCCTGGAGCAGTCTTCGCAGGGTGCGTTTCCGGACAATGTGACGTCTGCGCACAAACAGGCCGACCCCAAGGGCCACCACCACCAACATCAGGAGGCCCCCCACAATGCCTGTGACAATGGATGGGATCTTCGTCCTGGAATAAAGTTTTGACATAGAAGGGTGAGATTTGCTGGCAGGTTTCTTTACATTGGCAATTTACCTACTTCCTGCATATTCTGATATATTGCCATCATTTGAAACTATCTCAAAAGTAGAACATTCTGAACCAAGAGTTCCAGACAGTTTCCAACTTTCTCTAGTAAAATCTCCCTCTTACCTTCCCCCACCTACTTTTCCTGCATACAAAAAAATCATCTGATCTTCTCCATATGATTATATTTAACTATGTTGATTATGTAAACACATAATTAAAAAAATAACCCAGTCTTCAATGATGCTTTTTATATCAATGTGTGTCTGTAGAGAACCTCCACATATTTGAAGCACAGCACCCTGAATCTTTGAGCATTCTAGATCACAAGTGCCCCAGATACAGAAGCACCTTTGACCTAGGGGAATTCCAGACCCATGAGCACCCCAGAAACAGGGACATATAGTGCTTATTAGGCAGCCTGGGGAAGGGGCCCCTTTGATAGTGGTTGACTCCTTGGGGTTCCTGGTTTTCAAGACCACACCTATGATACCTGCTTTATGACTGAGCCTGGAGGAGGCTATAAAGCTATAGACTTTCAATGTAAAGAGCAAGACTTTTATAGACGAGGAAGTCACCATGCAGCCCCAAATCATTCCTTCCTTCCATGGGGGTTGTATCTAATTACAGGGAGACTGAAAATCAGAACTTAGGTTCTTAAGCTCCCAGAGCAAAGAACTATTGGAATCATTAGATTGTAATTTTATAGTCTTTCTAAAGATATTACTCTTAGGTATCCATCACATCTGAGCGTGAACATATTCTTAATGTCCAGGGACTGTCCCTCCCTGGTCTAGCAGGGAAGAGAGCAAGGCCATTTGCAGAAACTCAGAACAGACTTCTCCAGGAATGACCCAATGACCAAAGAAAGATTTAACAGTGACCACTTAACCTTTGTGTCACCACAGTGCATTCTTTAGAAATCAGGAAAGCGATTAAGTCCTGTACTAACTTTTCTTTAGGTCAAGGTAACTGAGAAAATCTAAAGATCTAAACCTATAGATTAAAATGATTGTTTTTTGGACAACAAGGATTGCTGAAATAGGTAAAGAAACTAAATTGAAATGTGATTGCTAGAGCAGTTCTCACAGACTAAAATCTGTTTCCCTGGTTTAATTCCTCTTTTTGATTACATAACAAAACCTTTGCCTGTCACTGAGACTATTATTTCAGTTAACAGTTGGGGACCCAATAAATGGACTCAAGAACTGCCTGAGAACACTTGTGCATTGGGGGGGGGGGGCTGGTACCTTGGCACCAGCAGGGTCCACTGGGCCCACCCAGCATCCTGAGCCATGGCAAGAGTGAGTCTTTGGTGGTCTTGGTCTCAGACCTCCCAGCTAACGGCTGATAGTCTTTGAGTTTATAAGTCCAGAAAACCATTGTTTTATGTTGTTTGGATGGATACATTATCTCTTTCAGGGAGGGAAATTCCAAGCTAGATGAACAGGTTTTCCTGGATCTAAACCAGCAGCTAAAGGGAGTAAATTTTCAACTGAAACCAAGTTTTACCCATTTGGATATTTAAGATGACAGACTGGCTCAATTAGTCAAAACAAAATCTATCATGAATGAGAGCCAGCTTACACTCATTCTAAAGACAAAGGACACCTTGTTCTCTCTGGCTGGCACGATAGTGTCTCCAAGTGATTGGAGACCTAACAGAGGTGTCTGAGATGAATTCCTCAGATTTGTTATAGCCCTGAGGGAATTCTAGACTACACATCTGAGTTGTTTGGTTCTTTTGGGGTGGAGATGGGTGTAAGAAGGCTGCTCACAGCACCAGAGCTCCTACAATTACTTTAACTGTTAGGAAAATCAAGACACAGAGGCTGAACTGAGCTGGGGTGACATCCTTAGGAGCTAGGCTATCAGAAACATTCTCTGAGCCACACCCCAGTCACTGATTTGACTCACTGAACCAGTATAGGAGCAAACCATCAACAGAAAACCTGTGGGGCCTTTGCTGATCAGCCACCTACTAGCACTTGGCAGAATTTATGTGTAATGCTTACAGGACACACATTTGTAAGTAGCTCCCTATTGGGAGGAGACTACTGGAAGAAATCTCACTGTAAGAAGATCAAGGAAGGACACATGGGGATTTTCCAAGTTGATATTCTTGTGCGTGCAACTAATAAAAGCTGGCTTAAAAATCAAACAAAAATGTTTCTAAAAGTAAACCTAATGTTTGATAGGAAAGGACTTGAAATCATGTCTTAGCATGATTAGGGCCTTTGAAAATTTTTTCTGGGTCCACACTACCAAAAGGCCACGAAGTTTCAAAGGCCACTAGGGAGCTCTTTTGAGCTTCTAAGGTGTGCTCATTTCAAGTTCTTAAATGAGCTGTTTAGGGTCAACAACAACTAAAAAGAAGATACATAAAAGTCTATCTTTTTTTATTTTTGTCACCCTCATTTTCTGCTTTACCACCACTCACCTTTCCTCCCATAAAACTGGGACTTGGCTATAAAATTATGGCTGAACACAGCAAGGTTTTACTCTCACCCGCCTTCCATAGGAATTATGAAACTTCTTTGGTTATCTATGGAGCAAGTCTGAGATTTTCTCACACCATCAAAAATGTTTTCTGCTCGTCTTGACAAAAACTTGACAAGATATTTAAAAGAATTTTATAAGAACCCTGTAATGAACACTTTGGCCAAATAAGAAAATAATATTCAGAGATTGAAACTTTTGTAAGACAGGGTTTTCTTCTTTGTAAAACTAGTATTGCAAGTTTACTAGGCAGCAATATCCCCAGAATATAACTGGATGAAAAAGAATGAAAACAGAAAAAAAGAGAGTTGGAAGTAGCTTGGCAAGATTTATTAAGGCATACCTCTCTTCAGATAGTAAACCTAGCTGTAAGAATATAGTCTATTTCAACTGTTACAAAACAGTGAGATTCACACTTAAAGTGTGGAAAATTTTAAAAAATACTAAGAAATGTCTGCATTTGCCTGTATGTTTACATATGTTTTCTTATTTTATCTTCAGATAGCACTTATACCTACATAAATTATTTCTAAAGTCAAAAATATAACACACAAACTAATTCAAAATGTTCAAGAAACTGAGAGCTAGGATAATTTTGGTTAATAAGAATCAGTTTTAAACTTTAATAGTTTAATTTAAAACATGAATGAATGACTTTAAAGTTATAACATTGGATATGATACTTTTATTATTCATCTTTACTTAAACAAATTAGCTCATGTTACCTTATAAGAAAAATTACTGAATTGGCCTAGTGTGTTTAATGACGAAATAGCAGGTGAAAAAAGGGAGTCTTTTGTGTTGAGATTAAGTCACCAAATCTTTTTTTTTTTTTTTTAAGATTTATTTATTTATGCATACAGAACTGGGATACAGGCCAAAGGTGGTGAGAGGGTTCACCAGAGACGGAGTAGGGAGCAGAATAGGCAGATTGATGAAGTACACTGCTGAGGGGAAATGCGGGCGTGGCAGGAGAACTGTGCCATGTGGGTCACCTCCCTGGCTGGTATTGCACTTGTGCTGAAACGGCTGTGGTTAGCTTCATAGTGTTGTGCTTTACCTGTTGCGCCACCAGGGAGAGCCCAAATCTCGTTTTCACCTAATAGTGTTGACATAAAGTTTCCTGATCAGGTAGACTTGCTTGAAAAAAGGTAAATAAATATAAATAAAACATTCAGCAAGAAAGTTTTTTTAGAGTGTGGAGTAAGTCTATCAAGGAAAGTAAGGAAAGGATTACTTCAGGCAAGATGACTTTGCTAGACTGGATTGGGATTCCTTCCGTGGGAGAAGCTGAAGCTGCAATCACTTGGATACTGAACCTTGATGGAAGGAAGTTTTACTCCACTTTGAATCTGCTTCCTTTAACATGACTAAGGTAATTTCCCAAATCTCTTTTTGGGAATCTGTTTCCTTTAACAAGACTAAAGTAATTTCCCAAATCTGCTTCCTTTAACACGACTAAAGTAATTTCCTAAATCTCTTTTTAAAGTTTTACTAGGTTTAATAATGGGAACTCTTGGGTATCTAAACCATTCTGCTGAAATATAGCTATATAGTTCCACACCCAGAGGTTAAATTGGCATGAAATAGGGTCATTCATTATTATTTATTTAAAGCTTCCTGGAAGATTTCAGCTCCTCCCTACCCTGCTTGTTTTCTTTTTATTTATTTATTTATTTTTACTTTTCTTTTAGATTTACAAAAAGATGAAAAATTAACACAAATAGTCCCTTATATTCTTCCCTGCTGCTCTCCCAATACTCACATTTTACGGAGGTACCAAAACCTAGATAGTAACACTAATACAATGATACTCACTAATCTGCAGACCCTGTTCACATTTCATCACTTACAATTCTACATTATTTTAATTGTTCCATTTCCTTAATGTTCTTAAATCTTTTTTCCCATATGCAAATCTTTGTGTTACTTAATTTTTATCTTCGTAGACAGAGTAAACGATTACTGTGCTATTGCTTTTATTTTTAAATACTATAATAGTTTATTTTTACATCATTTTGTGCATTTTTCATCTCAGTTGTAATCCCCGTGGACTTGTATTTTATTTTGATTATCACTCTTCATTTTTGTACAATGTATGCTTTTTCATCTTAGTTGTCACTCCTGTGGAATTCCCACCACCAATTCACCCATGTGCCATCACCACAGTCCTGTCCTTTGTGCTATTCCCTCCCCTGTTTTGATCCTGTTTCCATACCCCCCTCCCCCCAGCCACCCCTGCAGAATGCCTCTGGTTTATAGCTGTCTGTTGATTTTGGTTTTTACTTTATTACAATTACTTTTTTCTCCCCTGAGCCCTTGCATTCCTCCTAAACGTGAAACCTCCTGGTATTTTTCTTCTGGTTTATTTCACTGAGATTGATCCCTTCCAGCTCCATCCATATACCCAAAGGACAAAAAAAAAAAAAAAAAAAAAAAAAAGA